TCCTTTTCTCGCTTGTTTGCAAAAGTTACTTTTGCTATTTGCTTCATGAAGCCACTTCTTCTTTTGGAAATATAAACTGCTTTAGCTCTTTTGTTCTTAAGATGTTTTAGAAGAAGAGTTTCAGAAAGGTCTTTTGTGATTTTTGTAAGTGTTCAACAAATTTATACTTCATATCTTTCTTTTCATGATCTTCTTTTTCTCTAGATACACAAGCTAGTCTTTCATCATCTACTGGAGAGCCCAGGGCATAGCTTTAATCTTTAAATTTTCACTAAATTCTACTACTATTAAAGCTCTGCTATTTTTTCATTTAATATACATATCTTCTATAGTACTCAGTTTTTTGCAGATATATTTAACTTCTTTCATACTTATATCTACAAACAGGTTCTAAATTGTGATAGTCTATATTTATACGTCTATTATGGTTGTATCTTCTTGATAGTTCTGGTTTTGTAATATGATATTCTTTCTTTTGAAGTGAGTTTTCTTCTGTTTTTTGTATTTTCCCTCTTGTAGTGTTTTCTTTGGTTTTGTAATTGAGATTTGGTTTAACTCTCAATTTATTCTTTTGATTTCTTTGTTTATATCTTGAGTCTTTTGTTTCATTATCAGTTATTAGAATTAGACAAAAACAGTCTCTTTCTTTTTTTAAATTTTTTTAGTCGCTTCTTCTTTGCTATATTTATAATCAAATTTAACTTCAACCCAGTTGTTTCCATTTATGAATGCCTTCTATACTGATTTTATATATTTGTCTTTATTCAATATTCCTTCTATATTCATAGTTTTTTTTTTAGATGAATCACCTAGTACCTTAAAAGCTAGTATTTTTGTGTGAAAAGACTTATCTTCTTTACATATTTTGTTAATTGGTAACCAGATATTTTGTTTAATTAAACCACTTATTTCAGAGAGTCTAGTTTTCTCTTCTCATATTATCTTCTTTTGCTGCATTTTAGATTTAAAATTTTCTATTACGTCTTATAAAATACTGTTTATAGAGGCTACTTTATCTTTTCTAGCCTTTTTGTCTTTGAAGTTTCTTTTATTAGAGTCTTCTCTTGATTCTTCACTAGCAGCTTGTAAAGTTTTCTTTGTTTCTTCATATTTACTTTTAGTGTTTATATTCATACTTTCTACTTGTTATGAGAGATCTTCTATGCTTATTTCTTTTCTTGTTAAATTTTTTTTAAAGTCTTTATCTTGTCTATACTTTTTCAATTCTAATACTATAGTTTTTTCTTCTTCTTCAATCTTCATTATACCTTCTATTTTGTTTATTTCTTTTTTGATTTCTTCCTTGCTTATTTCTACTATATATTTGATAGACTTGAGGTTTTGATTAATCCACCTTGCTCTTTCTGTCTATTTTTCAATCTTTTTTTCTAGATATCCTCTAGATTCAGCTCTTTGTAAAACCTCAACTATATGTTTATATATTAATACTTCTATTGATATGATTTTGTTTTCACCTTTATTGTTAGTATCTTGGCTATATATTTGATATTGCTAGAATCACTAAGTGTAATTTCTTTAATAGTTTCTTTAAGTGGCTTATCAAGCATATACTTGGCTGTAATTATACTTCTGCTCCAAATAAATTTAAAAAATTCTTTATATAAGTACTAAACTTTAAAGTAATTTTTAATATTAGATTCTAATTTGTTGTTGTAGATTTTATGTTTACTATAGTATATTTTCTAGACTATTCTACTTTTATTTGTTGTTATAGGTTACATTTGTAGTATTTGTTTTGTTATTGTTACTACTGATTATATATATGATTGTTGTTTTATAATTTTTGTTATATTTAAAAGTAACAATATGATCTACTATTTGCTTATTTGTTTATCCAATTTTACATGTTTGTTTTGTTGTTGTTGCTTATATATTATAAAGATCAGATTTTTAAGGTCTAGACAAATTTTCCAAAATTTTCAAAAAATTTTCTAAAAATTTTCAAAAGTCTTTATTTTGTCATTAGCTTTAAAGTTTTGTAAGAAACTATTCTAGTAAACTAAAGGTTATTCCAAGTGCTCTTTCTTTTTCTTTAGTATAAGAGATCTTGTTTCCTATACTAGTTTCTTCAAAAATTGTTGATTTGATCTTTAACCAATTGAAAATTTGTTGTAAATTGTAGATCAGCAGAAAGAGTTGATTCTAATAGTAATAGAATTATTAAATTTGATTTAATAAATCACAAGTTATTGATATTTTTATCTTTACAACTATATGATTTTTATATATTACTAGAAACTTTTAGCATTCCAATATTATATAAAAGTGATAGTAATTTTCTGCTAATTTTTACTATAAATTTATATCCTTTAATTACAATTTACTATTTAAATTTTTTAATAACTTAAACTTTAAATCTATTTAGGTTTATCCAATTTCTGTAGTTATACAATCATCAAATATTCATTTTATTCACCATTGTTAATTAGGCTGTTCTTTTAGACAATATGATACTACAAATAATGAATATATTCGAAATGACTTCTTCGTAGCAATTTAAAAATGAAAATAATTTTTATGCGTTTACTTTTATATTGTAATAAATTGCAATTTATACTATGGTAAATGAAAAAGTATAATAATGAAATTCTTTATTGTTGGTTAATAAAGCTTTTTATTAGGTTAGCATAATTATTATCAAAGCTTCTAAATTATTTATTTATTAGTTTCTTACTAGCACAATTAACGAGTTTGATAATAGGCTAATAAATACCTATTATTAGCCTAAAAAAAATTCAAGTATTATGCTTGTATAAAAATGTAAGATTTCCACAAAGTAGCTCTGGTTTAGCAAATCTGATAATTCATAGGATCCAATGCAAAATTCTAGAAGTGAAATTTTAAACTATCTCTATCACTATGGCTTTTCAATCAGCAAGCAAGGCTTGCAAATTGCTGATAAACTTGCATACTTTGAAATACGGCCTAAACCTAATCTAACTAGAAAATCTCAGATAAAACTATTTTACAAAAATCTTACATTTTTACGATAGCATTAAAATATTCTAGATCATGTTTATATTAGTATAAATTATTAAGTTTATAGGTCGCCAAAAGGAATTTTTCATAGTAAATCGCAAATTTAGTTTCTCACTAGCACTATTAACGAGTTTTAACGAGGTTTTTTGAAAAACTGCCAAATTTTCGTATTTCGTCAAAAAACCTCGTTAATAGTGCTAGTAAGAAACTAAATTTGCGATTTACTATGAAAAATTCCTCTTGGTGACCTATAAACTTAATAATTTATACTAATTTATACAAGATCTAGAATATTTCAATGCTATCGCAAAAATGTAAGATTTTTGTAAAGTGGTATTTTCTACAAAACGCGAAGATTTATTTCTATTAAATAATTATATTGTCCTTCTGATATTGATCCAGAATTTTATGATTGGCTGTTTGATATTGATGATATTTTATCAAATGAATCAAATAAATCTCTTGTTTATCTAGGAATATTGTACCCAATGGCAGAATTAAATTTCGAAAATTTAGAACTAAAAACATTAGCAGAGCAAAATGATGCAATAGAAAATGCATTGAAGCATCACAATCCCTATCATGAATTATTAAAAGTATTTAAAACTTATGGACATTTTATACTTAAAAGTATCATTTTTGGACATAGATTATATAGAGCATGTTATTTAGATCTAAAGGAAGTTTCACCACGATCTGTTTGGGAAAGTTTTGACTTTGCAACGAATAATAACGACATTTTGAATGAATGTGAAAACTATATGACATTGGCACATCAACTAATAACGAGGTTATGATCCCAATAAATAACTGAGAGATGAACTTAAAAAATGGGTGAACCTTTGCCTAGAAAGTAATATCGACTCATGGCAAGTTATAAATTGGAAGGGGTTAGATCCATTATACAATATATTGGATCAAACACTCCAAAAAGATATTAAATTTATGCTTGGAATTGGTGATCAAACAAAAGAACTTAAAGAAAGGGTGCTTATGACAGGAGTAATTCCGATTAAAGATTCTACCGATTACTATCGCTATTTTTTATTTTATATTTATTTATTTTTTATGCCAATATGAGCGTCTATTTTCTTTTTTTTTGTATTATTTTCTTTAGAAAGTTACGGATCCACAAGTAACATGGATAATGATTGGAATACCCTCTAAGATTGGATTTTTTAGTGCACACACACGAAATCTCGCTGTATTGGCTTTAGGTATTCACTCGTTCAAATATCATGAAAGGTATGAATATAAGCCGCCTGTTCCAAAAAGGTTACTAGAAACTCCTGTTATTTGCGGTATCCCTCATCGCGTTATGGAATGAAATTTACTATTCCAACCTACAAAACAATGACAATAAAATTAGCATAATAATCAATGAAGATAAAAAAAAAGATCATAGAATATTCCAACGGCGATGCTGATGAGGATAAAAAAGAGATCATAGAATATTCTAACAGTGATGTTGAAGATAACAGCAGTGAAGAAGAAGAAGACAATACATCTGATGATAATCACAAATGTTTGCTTTAATGGTGTTTTCTTCATGAAAATCCGAAAATTATAAAGACTGTTATTAAACCCTTTTTGGCTGTAATCGGTCAAACTTATCGTTCTTTCTTTACAGAAAAAAAAAAGGTTCAAAGTAAAGAGAATTTTGATCACATACAAATTATTAGGTGAGAATAAAATTTGTAATATAAAAAGTCACCTTTGTCACTACTATTTCGTGATTTATTAGTTTGGTTATTCAAAAATTTTTTCGTAAGTTTAAAATTTTTATCGATTTATACATTAAATTTATTAATTGTACTGTATTATTAACGTTAAAATTGTATCTTTAATATACAATTTACATGAACTTATCGTTATCAAGTAATTTGCATTAAAGTATACTTGAATTTATTAATTAGAACAGTTTCCCGTATTTGATCGAAAGACTCATAATCTAGTATCTTTATACAGTCAAACCCCTCTATAGTCACCTCCTCTATAGTCACAAAATTGGTATAGTTACAAATTTATTTTTACCAATTATTTATAACTATATATGGGGACCCCCACAGCAAAAGGGTGCAATGGGCCAAAAAAAATTTTTTTTTCTAAACTCAATTTCTTGAAGAATTAGAACAATTATTTACATCTATACGAAGTCACGCATTAAGTTAAATAAAACGCCCCGCCCGCTATTAAAAGAATGCACTAGAGAAATCATATCATATATATTATTTTATTTAATTTTTTATTTTTTTCACAGCAAATTTTATTTGAAATTATTTATTATTTCTAAAATTTACACTATGAAAATCTTCATTCATTTCTTTCTTCTATTCAACATCTCTCTTTTTGTTCTTTTATTATTTGTCTTCCAATTTTTCTTTTTAATAGTTTCATGGTTCTCATTCTTTCAACATTTGATAATTCTACATCAACAAATTTAACCCACTCATCGCAGGTACCTTCTATTTGACAATCAATAATCCCTTTCCATTCTTTAGTAACTACATCAGTATCATTCACCAATATCACATAACCATTACGGCCATGAACCGCACTAGCAAAGTCTTTTATAAGAGCTTTTACTCCAAAAATTCTTAATGAGGTTCCCATTATTATTAAACAATCAGCTTTATCTTGATCTTGTCCTGCGAATTGAACAATTTCTAATCCTTTAGGATGTGAATCACCATAAAGAATTATTGTTGGTTTCAGTTGTCCAATAAGACGTGGTCGTTGCCTTCGTTTGACCCTATCATTTTCTGTTTATTATAGCGTAATAATTAATCGTTAACCAACTTAAAATATAATTGATGCGACAACCAACTTTGGGCAGAAATTGACGGAGGCTATAATATTTTTGGTAATATATATCCTTTGTATTTACCTTTTTCTTGACACTCAGGGAAATTTGGCGCTTCATCTTTCTTGAATATTGCAGTTTAAATCAATAAATATTTGTGCAAACGTTACATTGTAACTTTGCCAAAGTTCCATGTGATTGAACAACTTGTGCTTTATAATTTTTAACCCTTTCAAATTGCCAATCTACATCTAATCCCGCCGATTATCTATATTTTGTGTATATGTTGAAAGTGGAAACGGAATTTAAGTGGATTTGGAATTTATATATAAAACCCCGTTTTTTGGGGGTTGATTTTATCATATAAACACCTAACTCTAACCCTAATTTAACTAGGAAATTCCAAATCCGCTTAGATTCCATTCTCACTTACAACATAACATATACATTGTAAATTGCGCTTTATATGATCGTTATTTAATTGAAAATAAAATCTTATTGTTAGAAAAAATCATCGAAGACTTAATTTCCAGACTATAATCCGGACTGTCATCCGAACGATCATCCGACCTGGTACAAATTTTCTGGGTGCTTAAATTAGTCCAAATGACGTAGACCCTTAGCGGACTATATAATATAGACTTTTAATAATGAAATAATTTACTCCTAAAGATTCTTTTTTTTTAATCACATCAAATTGCCACAATCCCCCCAAAAACCATATATATATACAATGTAAGAAATATTTTTATTTACCCTCATTATCTACTTATCTTCGATCTTTGTTGTCAATATAAGTAGACATCAAAATTTTGCAAAGATCGAATTCGGGTTTAAACCATATAAAGAATTAATATTTCCTAGCCTTTATTCAATTTTTATATTATTCATCACTGCTTATTATAATTCAAAATTTGAAAGACTATCGAATTATGGAATTCCTACAAGTACTGTTACACCCGGAACTACCTCTTATGAGTCCGGTATAACGGTTTTACTATAGCGACGGGGATATTAGGGAATAAATATTAAAGTGCCGATTTA